CTCACCACCTCGTGTCTTGTGTCTCAAAAAGTGTTGCATTACCTTCTCGGTCTGTTTTGCTGCTTGAGAGCAATCTGCTGTTCCTCCTTGGGCCCCACATAACCCTGTTTACATTTGTGTGCTTTCCCACTGGGAAACTATTACTGCAATCATCATAACAGATGTGGGAAATGTAAATTTCCTATGCTAGCAAGCTTCCACTTCATTTATTCCTATTTCATTTTGTCTGTGTATATGTGTGCGCGTGTTTGAGTGCACATGTGTGTGACAGAGGCCAGAGGTTGACATCAGGTGTCTTCTTCAATTCTTCACTTTAATCTTTGGAGTCTCTGAACCCAGAGCTCACACGCTATATGGCTGGTCAGCAAGCTCCAGGGATCCACCCTGCCCCCCACTGTTCCCAGCACTAGGGTTATAGCCTTGTGCATCACATCTGACTTTTATATGGGTGCTGCGTATGGAAACTCAGGTTCTCAAGCTTCTGTGGCAGGCACCTAGAGGAGCCATCTCCCCAGCCAGTTTTCAGAGCCGGCTTCCATTTTTTGGGGGGGTGTATTTAACACGTCTGTCAGGTTAACAGGCTCAACCACCTTCCTTTTGCTTGGACTTTGTAACACGTTGGGATGGTAAAGCGTCTCCAGGGAATCCCGGTTCATTATAGGAATATGAGCTTGTAAGTTCCTTTGAGGAAATTCCGTACATGCTATTAATTAACATTGTTAGCAAAAGGGGGGGTAAGGAATGTGGTAGATAAGATTCCGTTCACATCCATGTCCATGCACATCTAATCCTTCCTAAGGTTAAACCCACTGGATGGAACGAGCAGGTCAGGACTGCAGAGCACTGCCACCCCCCACCCCCACAACCCTCCAGTGTAAACATCCAGGGAAACTGACACCCACCAGTGGCCTTTACAGAGGAACCAACAGATCCTGACCACTTCTGCAGTGGGGGCTCCCTTGTGCCATCAGCCTTGGGGCCTGAAGAGCTTCTATGTTTGGTTGCCAAGCACGGGACCGGGTTCCCTAGGGAGTGGAGGAAGCGGGTCAGCCCACCAGTCAGCCTCTGTTCACACTCACTGGGCAGGAGGCTCTGAGGGCAGGCCTCCTTGAGCCAGCTGGCCGCCTCCCACATGCCAGCCCAGCAGGCTGGGGCCAAACTGCCTAGCTCCTGCCCCTGGAGGGTGTGCGTCTCCAGGGCAGCTTCTGGCTCAAACAGCCCTCCATCCTGTTCTTGACACACTGTTGCCAAAGTTTAGTCTGAAGGGATAAAAGGCACACACAGACCTCAGCTCCTGCCCCAGAAGTTGTTTAAGCTGAAAGAAACGGAATCTACTCCAGCCTTCCGCTGTCAAACGGAGATTCCTGCAGGTTGTCCTCTGACCTTCACACACACACACTTTTTAAAAAAACAAACCAATTAGACTGATATTATTCCTGACTTTGGATTGCTCTGCTGAGGATTTCTGATTCCAGAAACCATCTTCTTCTCATGGTCAGCACAGCATTCCACAGGTGATGTGACATGGCTTGGGCACAAAGGCTTGTCATCCCAGCTACTTGGGAGGCTGAGGCAGGAGGACGGCAAGTTCAAGGCCAGTCTGAGCAACTTAGAAAGGAGAGGGTTAGGGAGGATGAGGGGTGAGATGTGATCAAATACAAAAGATTCTGAATGAAAGTGTCCTTATGTGACAGAACACCACACAATGACTATAACAACAAAAATTAAGAAAAAAAAGCAAAACACAAAGGGGGGCTGGGGATCTACTGAATAGCTCAGTAGTAAAGCTCTTGCTTAGCATGTGTAAGGCTGTAGAGTCACTCCCTAATGTCCTCCCACATACACACACACAGAGATACACAGATATATATACACACACAGACATATACACACACGACACACACAGAGATACATACACACAGACACACATATATACATACACACACATATACACAAAGACACACACAGCCATACACATTCACACAGAGACCCACATATACACACACACACAGAGACACATACACATACACAGTCACATGTACATGCACACACATGCACATAAATTACATGAATCCTCAGCAGTTTATTATAAAATTAGACGTTGCTGCCTAACTAAAGGTTAATGTGAGTGACTGACCACATCTATGTTACGGTCAGGCTGAGCTCTGGGGTCTGTTGGTATATGTATTAAGTACATTTTTTTTCTTTATCCATTTTCATATGTGTGAGTGTGTATGTGGTGGCCTGAGGCTGATGTTGGGACTCATCCTCAGTCGCTCTTCCACCATCTTCACTGAGACAGATTGGATGGAGGGTCTCTCAGTCAAACCCGGAGCTCACTGGTCTAGCCAGCTAGGCTAGTCAGCTTGCTCTGGGGACTCCCATCTCCGCCTTCGGAGGCTGCAACCCACCAGCATTTACTTGGGTTCCGAGGATCTGAACTCGAGTCCTCATGTTTGAGCTTTAACCCCTGGTTCATCTCCCCCGCCCGTAAGTGCAGTTTTGACTTACAATACTTCCACTTACAACAGGGTGATTGAGACTTAACACCATCGTAAGGCAAAAGGCAACTGTACATTCATCAGACTAACACCATGACCTACAGTAGGAAGTACGATTGTGCCTTAATGCATCTAGTGGCCATTCTAAAAACCACCGTTGTTTCAAAGTGATGCCGAGCACAGAAGAAACGGTCTCTTGTGCTAGAGCTGAAGGGAAAGGAAGATCGTGTTTCTCTCTGCCAAGTTCATGGCCCCTCTGAATTTCATCTGTGAACTGACCAGACTCCTAGAGCAAGAAGATACTCCTTTGTCTGGACTCTTGGGAAAACACTGAAGCTGAGAGGAAGGAGCGGGATCCACTGCCCACTCACTTCCTGTCCCTGGGAGGCTCCTGTCCTTAGGTCTAGAGGCAGAGCAAGGTGAGATCCTGCTTGAGGCACTGTCTCTGCTCACTGTCCTTCCTGCTGTCCAAGACTTGGCCAGCTCCAGGTAGTTCCAGGAAAGCCTTCTTAATGTGGTTACAAGTTGGTACGGGGCAGGGATTCCCACAGGGACTCCTGAGAGCACCCTGCACCCACCCCTGCTACCGATGGTCTCAACTGCACACTTACGTCCTAACCGCATGCACAATCACAAGACCTGAGGCAGCCATGGCCTCAGGCACAGGGCTGGGCACATGGAACACCAACACGATGAAGGAGCAGATGGATGGGTGGATGAAAGCTGTGGTCACACTCAGTTCATTTTTCTCATAATTCTTTTTGTTTATTTTTTTCTGTGTATGTATGTATGGTGGACATGCTTGAGTCACAGCATGCATATGGAGGTCAGAGGACAACTTTGGGAGTCGGTTCTCTCCTACCACATGGGATCGGGGATTGAACTCAGGTTGTCAGGCTTGGCAGCAAGCACCTTTACCCACTGAGCCATCTCACCAGCCCAACACTTTCTGTCTCCTCAAGTAAGTATTTCTTAGTTCCAACTACCTGTAAAAGTTACTTTTGGAATTATTAGCAAATTCTGAGACCTAGGTTAAACCCTCTGTTTGCAGCAGCCTGAGGCAGACCCCACTTTTGTATTTCAGGCATAACCAGGGTCAAGAGCTACTGCACAGGAGCAGCAGCTGAGGTGACTGGACCATGCTCCCATGTGACCTTAGACCCAGAAAGATGGAATTAGTGCTGAATTCTGAACCCTCAGTGATCCTCAGCAACAGGTCACAGTTCAGAACCCAGCGACACGGGTGTGGCTGAACTACACAGACTTCAATGGAAGATTCTAGAGTGAAGATCAGGAAACACACAGCAGTGCCCCAGGCACCACAGCGGTCCCCATTCTGTGCCGCCCCCCCCCACACAAAGGGCGCAGTCCTGGGGGACAGCCTGTCAGAAGTGAGCGTTCCCAGCTGCGGAGCTCTCTGCTCTACCAGAAGATGACAATAACACCAGCCTTCTGGTATCACTGCAGGAAGCAGAAAGGACTTCAGGCACCAGTGACTTAGGACACGGATTATAGTACTTAACTTGTTTTTTGGTTTTTGGAGATAGAGCCTCAAAATGACTAGAACTCATGGGAATCCTCCTGCCTGAGCCTCCCAGGTGCCGGGATTACAAGTGTAAGCTGTCATGCCAGATCTCAGAACGTGGACGTACAGCCAGGCTCCCTGGGTTTGAATCTCTTACCAGCTCTGTCATCTATGGAAGGATTCAACCTCTGACTAGTTTTCCATCCACAATGCAGTGGAGGAGGTGCCTCCCTCACAGGAGGGCTTGACTGGGTGTCTGCTCTTCAGGTGCTCACAACAGTGTTTCCTGCAACACACTACCCCCACCGGGCTGGGCAGACACTGACTGCAGATGGCCTCCCGGCACGCTGATAGCCATTCTGAGTGGAGGCTCAAGACTGGGCTAGGGAGATGGCTCAGTGGGTAGAGCACTTGTGTGAGCGTGAACCTGAGTTTGAATTCTTAGAGCCTGTGACACAGCAGGCACAGTAGTGCACATCTGCAATCTCAGGGCTCTTAGGTGAGATGGGAGGAGAGGAGGGTCCCTAGGGGCTCTCAGGCCAGTTAGCTTGTTGTACAGAGGGATGAAACGAGAGACCCCGGCTCAAACAGTGGAAGCCAAGGACCAACACCTCAGGGTGTCCCTGGACCGCTACACACGCACTGTGGCATATGTGCCCTCTGTCTGTCTGCCTCTCACAGACACAGACACACAGACACAAAGAATTTGCACATCTGACTAATTGCCAGATGAACTGATGCTGCTGTGGGAACTGACAAGCGATGGCTCCCACTCCCCGAGTGGAGGGACAGACCAATAGCCCTGTCCTTGCCACCCCAGCTCCAAACGGCAGGTAGGCCAACCACCTGACCCTCTGCAAAGGTCCTGTTCCACATGAGGCTGACAGTATGTCATGTACCCGTTCCTTTAATTAGTTTGAAGCCCAGAGCAATGGGCAAGAACCCTTAGAAAGCACAAGATGTATAAGACTCACTGTGGGTGCCGGATGTCAGGGAGAGAGCGATTCAGGGAGATTTTATCACTGACGTAGATGTTAAATCCATTCTCTCGGTATGCCTGGTCCACTCTGTCGGCATCGGTCATGGGATAAGGCCGCCCTTGTTCTCCATTTCCTAGAGGCAGACAGCAAAATCAGTGTTGCTAATTACCTGGATGGGGCGCTGATCCTGGGGAGAGGATGACCACACCCCAGAGGAAGCCGCCTGCCTGGTACAGGCGTGGTCGTCCCTTCTAGATTGCCGTGACCAAGAACCTGGCAAAACCTGGGAAGGAACGATTTTTCTGAAGTGTTCAGCCCATGGTCACACAGCTCCGCCGAAGGCATGTGTAGAGGAGGCTGTGCAGCCCTTGAGGTGGACAGGAAGCAGAGGGAGGAAATACGGGAAGAGGCAAGAGTGAGCCAGAGCCAAGGACACACCTCTAGTGCTCTACTCCTGCAGAGGCACCACCTCCTCCCTTCCACCACCTCCTACATCACCGTATCTAGGATTCATCAGAGGATTAGTCTGTTCAAACCCTCCTGGTACTGTTCTGAAGGAGTCACAAGATCTGGCCACACCACTGGGCAGTGTGCCTCCCGTTTGCGTTGCCACGGAGGACAGGCCACCCACCGTGCTCACAAGGAGCCAACTCCTCTCCCTCCCTCTGCTGCCTGGGTTTGGAGACAACTTGGAAACCTTCAAGAACGATCATGTTGCTTAGTCTGGGGAACCAAAGTCTCTCTTCAGACGGGCCACTGCAGACTGTGGCAGTAAAGAAACCTCTTCCTGCAAAGAGCAGTTAGTTTTGGTGCCTTTCTCTCATACCTTTCCCTCTCCTCTTCCTCCCTACAACCTAACACCCATCAGGTCAGAGGCCCGAGGATCTACTAGTTACTGGGAAGGCCCCTTGCAGACACACCCAGGAATGAGCTCTACTAATCTCCCAGTCAAGTTGACAAACAAGACTGTTTTAAAGATTTATATTTCTAAAATTATGTGTGTGTGTGTGTGTGTGTCTGTCTGTCTGTCTGCATCTGTGCATGTGCTGAGTGTAGGTGCCGGTGGAGTCCAGAAGAGGACGTTTGAGCCCCTGGAGCTTGGAGTTACAGGCATCTGTGAGCCACCCAACATGAGTGCTGGGAACTAAACTCAGGTCCTCTGGGAGAGCAACAGGCCCTTTTAACTGCTGAGCCGTCTCACCAGCCCCTGACGATCAAGATGGACTGTCACCCAGGCATCCGTCCAGATTTCTCAGAGGAAAGGGAAGAGAAAGGTAGGAGGCTAGACTTGCTCAGCCAGGGTCCTGTCAGGCACCTCACAGGTATTTTTTCTCACAATCCCCATAGCAACCCTGTTCAGTGGACTCAAGAACTCTCACCCTGCAGGTAAATTAGACTCAGAAAGGCAACAGAACCAGGTGTGGGCCAAAGCCCACGTTCCCTCCACTCCCTCAGGAGCACGGAATACCCTGCCTGCCAAGTCCACCTGGACAGGTCTCCCACCTCTGAGCCAATCAACCCTGGGCAGCCACCTCCTCTGACACCCACAGAGTGTTTGAGAGTCTGAACAAGGGAACCATAATACCCGATACAAACTAAGATCAGATTACTTTAAAAAAATTTCATTTATTATTTTTTATTTTATTTTACATGTAGGCATGTATTGTCTGCATGTAGGTAAGTGCACCCGTGTTGTGAAATGCCCACAGAGGTCAGAAGAGGCTGTTGGATCCCCTGGGACTGGAATTACAGACAGTTGTTAGCTGCCATGTGGGTATTGGGATTCGAACCTGGGTCTTCTGCAAGAACAGCCAGTGTTCTTAACTGCTGAGCCATCTCTCCAGCCCCCCAGATTACTTTCTAAGTGAAGCAAATGTTCTGTGTAAATCAAAACTGCATAAACGAGGGCTGGGTAGAGTGTTTGCCTAGCATGTATGAGGTGCTGGGTCCAAGAACAGCCAGTGTTCTTAACTGCTGAGCCATCTCTCCAGCCCCCCAGACTACTTTCTAAGTGAGGCAAATGTTCTGTGTAAATCAAAACTGCATAAACGAGGGCTGGGTAGAGTGCTTGCCTAGCATGTATGAGGTGCTGGGTTTGATCCCCAAGACTGCAATAAACAAATAATAAATAAATCATTTTCAAGTGCCACACATTATAAAATATGGTTTGGTTTTTCTTAAAGTCAGCAAATTAAGAGCTCCCACATCTGCTAAGCCAGGAAAGCGCTGCTTCAGGTCAGATTCAGCTGGACAGTGTTCGTCCTCTCCTCTGTGCAGTCTGGGGAAAGGCCCTGACGCTCCAGGAGCCTCTGGTGACGGGGACAGAGCTATAATGCTTTCAGGAGCCAGTAACACAAGCCTCCGCGTAGGGCACCAGCCCTGGGTGCAGCATGACCAGCTTGACAGAGTCTCTACAGGGGAATGAGGCGCCATGAGCTGAAGGGAACCCTTTATCCAGAGTGAGGCTTCAAGAGGGCCTTGCAGGGTAGAGCACAAGACCAGCCAGCTGGTCCCCACACGAGTTTCCAGGCATGCAGTCCGTCTAAAGCTCTATTTCTGCTCCTCTGTGTACCCTCCAAGGAAGTCCACCCTGACAACTAAGGAGGCCACTTGGTGCAAATGGCCTGGTGGGTACTTGGCACTCAACAAATACCAGCTGCCTTCCTTTTGAGGCAGCCTCATTATTTGATTTTTTAGAAAAATTAGGGAACTTTATAGGTATTTTTTTTAATACACATACAATTTTATTTCAATAAATGAGAAGTTAAATAGTTGTTTACTTTTCATAATGTCTCCACTGTCAGTCCCCTCCTTGCTGGCCAGCCCAGTGTTCTAAAAATCCAGCTGGTTCTTTGCAGATGGTCCCTTGCTTAATGTAAGTGGAACTGTGTATCCTTCACAGAAAATCCCTGGCACACAGAGAACTGCGTGTCGGGCCTGGAGAGCCCCTGACCACCAGCTCGGTTATCGAACCCGCTCTCTTCCAAGCCTGTCGTAAGCTGGTTCTGTCAAAAAGGAACTTAGGGAAAAGACCAGTCGTGGGATGCCTTTACCGGAAATCAGCGTGACTGTAGTGTCAATCCTGAGGCTGCTGTGTCGCATTCCAGTCTGGCAAAGCGAACTCACATCAATACTCATCCCTTCAGAACAACCACCCTGAGGCTGCCCAGGCAGGGTGCAGGAGCTCCACACAGATGTGGAGATGGGGGCTCAGGGAGGGTGGACTTTCTTGGTGCCCACGGCTGGTGGGTGGCACTGGAGCTGCTGTCCTGACCCCTTTCCTGGACTCTGCAGAGAAGATTCTCCCAGTCTCTGCTTCGCCTCGTCCTGGCCCTTCCTCCACCTCCAGGCCTCACAGAAAGGACAACGGCTGATTAGCAAAAGGAAACCACTCAGCCAATTTAACGTGTGGCTGTGGGGTCGGTGGGGTTGGAAGCGACTCTGCCTTTAAGACCTAGATGGTCTTGTTTTCCCTGTGTAATGGCTGGCAGACAGCAGCATCTCTCTGAGGTACAGGTCCCTCTAAGTTAATGGGCCACGAAGGCTGACGAGCCTGCAGAGGGTGGTGTTTGTTTGGTGTTGAGTTGGTGTTAGCCCTCATTATTTTAGCAGTGTAGTATCCTTACCTGGTGGAGACGTGGTCGGTGGCTAATGAAGGTGGCAGGGAAAACATAGTGGCGGGAGGTCTGGTGCCAGGAGTGGAACAGGTCAGGACAGGTGAAGGGGTGCAGGAATTAGGAAGGACTGGCACCAGGCAGGAAGAGGACAGGAAGTCCAGGCAGAAGCCAACACACACACACACACACACACACACACACACACACACACACACACGCACACACACACGCACGCACGCACACCCAGGTGTGCTGGCACACGTGCGCACGCACGCACGCACGCACGCACGCACGCACGCACGCACGCACGCACACCCAGGTGTGCTGGCACACGCGCCTACCCCTTCCAGGAAGCTCACCCCACCTGCCCGCCCTCCGCACCTGTGCGCTGAGCGTCCCTCTGGATGGCCTCCTTGTCGTGCCAGTCCTTCAGTTTCTGTTCGTCTCCCGAGAAAAATGTCTTTTTTTGCCGACCATGTGAGTCCTTAAAAACAAACAAAAACAAACTGCTATAAAGAAGAGGGGACCAAAGAACGCGTTGGGCTGTACTGAAACCCACCACCACCCGGCCGTCTCCCACAGAACAAGGTGCTGGTCGTGTGGGCAAAGGGCAAAGAAAGATGCTGCTTGGCATCCGGCCCTCGGGAACCTGCCACCCAGCCGGGGAGGAGGAGAAAGGGACACTTTTCACCCACAGGAGAGAGGGCAGCGGACGTGACTGCAGGTGAGTGAAAGTGGGGAGCTGCAGTTCAGCTTGGTAAGGGTGGTGCACATTCTGCGGATGCCAGGTTGGGCCGAGTCAAGGACGGGAAGCAGGCGGGGCAGGCGGCCAGGGCACAGGCTGGGATGCAGGTAGAGGGCAGTGGAATTGGTGCAGTCTGAGTGGACCGGGTGAGGGGGCATAAGTAGAAGGTCGGTCTCGGCCATTTCGACTCTCCCAGGTTCTAAAAGGGCCGAGCATTCGCCAAAACAAAGGAGCTAAGGGCAGAAAGGACACACGAACACACACACAGCAGGCAGAAGAGGGTGGGCCTAAGCCTTTACAGATGTCCAGGGAGGTGACCCGGCCTGGGCCATTAGGAAGTGGCTTTGCTAACTATAGGAGGCTGAGTGTGTCCCTGTGTGGAGGTCACCCAAAGCCTGGTGCTTTCCCATGCCAGCAGGCAAGCTCCAGGCTTGGCCTCCAGCCTTGGCCTTGTCATGGTAACACGGCACCACGTGGCCCTTATACGTCTTCCACGTGTAGGTCAGTGACAAGAGTTTTCCAGACCGCAAGACCCAATAGCATCCCACAGATTTGTTCTTGTCCCAGTGCCAAGCAGAAGCCCAAAGTCGTATTCCCTATATAACCAATGACACAGAACCTGAATGTGAGGTATGCCAGAACATTAGCTCAAAAGATGCCACCTGGGGCTGGAGAGATGGCTCAGTGGGTAAAGGCGCTTGCCTCCAAACCTGATAATCTGAGCTCAATCCCCAGGACTCACGTGGTGGAAGGAGAGAGCTGACTCTTGAAAACTGTTCTCTGATTTCTACATGTGTGTCATGGCATGGGCGTGTATGCATGCACACACACACACACACACAATAAATAAAAGCACAACTGCAAAGCCCCTAAACTGGGCTCCTGAGCTGCGGCCTGCTCCGTTGCAGGCTCGTGTTCTTTTCCCTTTAGAAAGCACTTACACTACCCTGTCCTGCTCAACTTGCTGTTCAAGACACAAAGAACCTTGACATCACATCCCAGGACACCCCAAGATCCCCTCCAGTAAGTGGGGAGGGGAGGATGAGAGCAGGCTTGTGTGCCTGTCCCCCAACCAGAGCAGTGAAACATTGGGGTCCCTGTGAGCTCTCACTAGAAAACATTCCTCCGCTAAAAGCAGACAGACCACGCCCTCTCCCAAACACATAAAGACTCTATTTGGAA